TGTATACCTATACGACCACCCTTCGGGTGATAAAGAGGTTCGGGGGGGAGGAACCAACGTCTCACTCGATCGGTCTCACTATCCATCTCACTATCGATATCACGATCGGTCTCGCTCGATCGATCTCACTCGATCGATCTCACAGTCGATCTCACTCGATCTGTTTCATTTCGATCGATATCAAAATCGATCAGACTATCCGTCTCACAATAGATCTCACAATCGATCTCACTATCGATTTCACAACCGATCTCACACTCGGTCGAACTATCGATTTCACCATCGATATCACAACCGATATCACACTCAGCGTCAACATCACCATCATCAGCATCATCGTCATCAACATCATCAACATCATCATCACCATCACCGGAACACAATCATCATCATCAGCATCTCATCACTATCATCATCAACATCATCATCATCACAATCCCCATCATCATTGGGACGCCATCATCGTCACCACCATCATCATCAACATCATCATGAACAGCACACCATCATCATCATCGGAACACACCATCACCATCATCATCGTCTCATCATCATGACCATGAACAAGACCATCACCATCATTAACAGCATCATCATCAAATTCATCATCATCACCATCGGAATACCATCATCGCCACCATCATCATCATCACCATCAGCATCATCATCCACATCATCGGCACACCATCATCACCATCATCACTATCAGCATCATCATCACCCTCATTGGGCCAAAATCATTAAAATCATCATCATCACATCATCATCATCAACATCATCCTCATCATCAACATCATCATCATCGGAACACCATCGTCGTCATCATCATTATCATCATCGGGGCACCGTCATCATCACCATCATCATCAACCGCATCATCATCATCAACCTCATCATCATCACCACCTTCATCGGGACGACATCATCATCAGCCTCTTCATCATCATCATCATCATGAAATCATATGATCATCATCACCATCATCATGATCATCACCATCACCATCATAATCATCATCGGGGCACCATCATCATCATCAGCAACAACAACGTCATTTTCAACATCGTCATAATGGGGGCACCGTCATCATCACCAGCATCACCATCATCATCAACATTATCAACACCATCAGCATCATCATCCTCATCGGGACACCATCATCACCACCATCACCATCATCATCATCGTCAACATCATCAACATCATCATCATCACCATCACCATCATCATCATCATCATGATCATCATCATCATCGGGACACCGACGGGGCACCGAGAGGAAAAACCGGCGGGACACCGCGCTCCGCCGGCCCCCGAGCGGGACACCGGCGGGACACCGGCGGGGCACCGGTTGCCGGAACGGAGACTTTTGGTTTCGGCCGCGCCTCAGGTTCAGGAGACTTATTTCTCGCCCGCCCACGCAGCTTCGCCTCGCCCGCACGCACGGCACGCACGAACACGAAACCGAAACCGATTTCCAGGTAGGGGGGCTCTCCGTTCCACTTCGATCTCACCCCCTCACCTCCGAGACACACCTATACGACCACCCTTCGGGTGATAAGGAGGTTGTCGGGAGGGGGGAAAGCGGGGAACCAACATGTGACTCAATCGATCTCACTATCGATCTCACTCAACGGGACACCACGGGACACTTGTCGATCTCGCGATCGATCTCACTAACGATGTCACTCAACGGAACACCACGGGACACCACGGGCCACCGCGGGACACGACGGGAAACCGCGGGACATCTTTCGATCTCACTATCGGTCTCACTATCGATCTCACTACCGATCTCGATCAACGAGACACCACGGAACACCACAGGACACCTCGGGACGCCACATCGATCTCACTATCGATCTCACTATCGATCTCGCCCAACAAGACACCACGGGACACCACGGGAAACCTGTTGATCTCACTATCGATCTCACTATCGATCTCAGCTCTTCGGGACACCACGGGACACCACGGGACACCTCGGGGCACCACATCGGTTCACTGTCATCTGACTCAATCGATCTCAATATCCGTCTCACTCAACGGGACAACCACGCGACACTTGTCGATCTCACTATCAATCTCACTATCGATCTCACTCAACGAAACACCACGGGACACCACGGGCCATCACGGGCCACCACGGGACACCGCTGGACACCTCTCGATCTCACTATCGGTCTCACTATCCATCTCACTCAACGGGACACCACGGGCCATCACGGGCCACCACGGGACACCAAATCGATCTCACTATCGATCTCACTCAAAGGGACACCACGGGACACCTCGGGGCACCACATCGATCTCACCATCGGTCTCACTATAGATCTATCTCACTATCGATCTGACTCGACGGGACACCACGGGACACCACGGGACACTTGTCGATCTCACTGTCGATCTCACTATCGGTCTCACTTAACAGGACACCACGGGACACCACGGGCCATCACGGGCCACCACGGGCCACCACGGGACACCGCGGGACACCTCTCGATCTCACTATCGGTCTCACTATCGATCTCACTATCGATCTCACTCGATGGGACACCTTAGGACACCACGGGGCACCGAGAGACACCTGTCGATCTAACCATCGATCTCACTATCGATCTCACTCAAGGGGACACCACGGGACACCGCGGGACACGGCGGGACACCTGTCGATCTCTCTATCGATCTCACTATCGATCTCACTATTTGGAACACCACGGGACACCTCGGGGCACCACATCGATCTCACTATCGGTCTCACTATCGATCTAACTCAACGGGACACCATAGGACACCACGGGACACCACGGGACACCTGTCGATCTCATTATCGATCTCACTATCGATCTCACTTGTTGGGACCCGTCGGGACACCACAAGGCACCTCGGGGCACCACATCGATCTCAATATCGATACGGGGACGCCCAAGACACCCGGGACACCGCCCGGCCCAGCCGGCCACCGCCTGCTGGGCGGACGGACTTTCGCTCCTACTTCGGCCTAGCTACAGGAGGATCGCGCGCAGCTTCGCCTCGCGCACACGCACGACACGAACACGAAACCGAAACCGATTTCCCGGTGGGGGGTCTCCGTTTCACTGCGATCTCACCCCCCAGCTTCCGATATATAGATATACAAATCTAATTACCTATACGACCATCCTTCGGGTGATAAGGAGGTTCGGGGGAGGAAGAACCAACGTCTCACTCGATCGGTCTCACTATCGATCTCACTATCGATCTCGCTCGATCGATCTCACTGGATCGATCCAACAATCGACATCACTCGATATATTTCATTCGATCGATCTCTCAATCGATCTGACTATCGATCTCACAGTTGATCTCACTACCGACATCACTATCGATCTCACAATCGATCTCACATTCGGTCTCACTATCTACCTCACTATCAATATCACAATCGATCGCACAACCAACATCATCATCACCATCATCGTCATCAACATCATCACTATCATCATCAGCATCATCGGGACACCACCACCAACATCAACTTATCACCATCATCATCAACATCATCATCACCAGCATCATCATCATTGGGACAATATCATCATCATCACCTTTTCACCTTCATCGTCACCATCACCATCAACATCACCATCATCGGGGCACCAGCATCATCATGATCATCGGGACACCACCATCAACATCATCATCATCGCGTCATCATCGTGGACAACAGCATCAACATCATCATCATTGGGACACTAGCACCATTATCAGCAACATCATCATCATCAACATCACCCTCATCGGGACACCATCATCATCGTCAACAGCATCACCATCATAATTATCGGGGAACCGTCATCTTCATCAATATCAGCATCATCATCACCATCATCGGGCAACCATCATCAAAACCAGCATCATCCCCTCATGGTCATCCTCATCATCAACATCATCATCATCGGGGCACCAGCATCGGCATCATCATCATCATCAACATCATCATCATCATCATCATCATTATCGGGACCCCATCATCATCATCACCACCACCATCATCAACAGCATCATCATCAACCTGTTCATCATCACTGGGACATCATCATCATCATCTTCATCATCATCATCATCTCACCATCATCTCATCATCATAAGCAGTATCAGGATCATCAACATCAACATCACCATCATCGGGACACCTTCAATATCATCAGAAACATCACCATCATCAACATCATCATCATCATCATCACCATCATCATCATCATCATCGGGACACCATCATCACCATCACCACCATCATCGTCATCAACATCGTCAACATCATCATCATCACCATCGTCACAAGAACACCATCATCATCACCACCATTACCATCATCATCTTGATCATCAACATCATCGACATCATCATCATCATCCTCATCCTCATCCTCATCCTCATCCTCATCCTCATCATCATCATCATCATCATCATCATCATCATCATCATCATCATCATCATCGGGACACCGACGGGACACCGGCAGGACACCGGCGGGACACCGCGGGCCACCGGACGCCGGAAGGGAGTCATTCGGTCCGGCCGCGCCTCAGCCACAGCGGGACACCGGCGGGACACCGCGGGCCACTGGTTGCCGGAAGGGAGTCATTTGCACCGGCCGCGCCTCAGCCACAGGAGACTTTCCTCTCGCCCGCCCACGCAGCTTCGCCTCGCCCGCACGCACGGCACGCACGAACACGAAACCAAAACCGATTTCCTGGTAGGGGGGCTCTCCATTCCACTTCGATCTGATCCCCTCACCTCCGATACACTTCAAATTAATGGTGCAGAGAGAGAGAGGGAGAGAAGGAATAGGCGGAGGAGAAGCAAGGACGCAACAAGCAACGTTCTTCGTGTCTGATCCACGTCTAACAGGAGGATCAGCAGCAGCAAGAGGAGAGAGCACAGGAGGAGCCTGGAGGAGAAGGGGCTCCCTCGTCCAGGCGCTCTTGAGAGAGGGGGCCCGTCGACAGTGCGAGAAGGACTGCAGAGACCGAGTGAGGAGCGAGGAGACCGGCATCGTCATGGCTGGCTGGCCATGAAAAACATCCGCCTGCACAGCAGGCCAGAGGCATGCGAGACGTGTAGGCAACTTCCTGGCAGCGTCATCGATGTTGGCACGCCTCGCGTGCGCCGGGCCTGCACCCGAGGGGGGGTCTGCACCCGGGGGCCCCGCCCAGAGATCGACCCCAGCGCGTGGTAGGCAATCTCTCGTCCTCCTCCTCCTCCTCCTCCTCCTCCTCCTCCCTCCTCCTCCTTGCCTCCTCCTCCTTTCCTCATCCTCCTCCTCCACCTTTCCTCCGCCTTTCCTCCTCCTCCTCATCCTTTCCTCCTTCTTTCCGCCTCCTCCACCTTCAACTCCACCTCCTCCTCCTCCTCATTCTTCTCCTCCTCCTCCTCCTCCTACTTTCCTCACAACCTTCACACGACAGCACTTCTCTAATGGTAGCCCGAAGATCGGCCGAACACGCCCCCGAAGCTGCGAAGCTGGCTGTATCCCAGAGGCCCTGCGCGTTATGCTGGAGATGCTCCGAGAGGTCTCTCCAGGATGTCCCTGGCGCGGAGCGCCAAGAGTTTATGTTTATGGCGTTTTTGTTTCTTCGAGCAAGTGTAAGACATCCTCGCAGAGCTCCCAATTTTCATGCCCATGCTACTGTTCCTTCTTCAACAATATGGGAAAGAATTCGATGCACCGACGCTTTTTCCGGCCCTGACTAAAATTTGCACAGGAGGGCGGAACCTGGTGTATACGAAATTCTAGTTTACACATGTTTCGTTGCTTCTCCGGGGAAGCGGGGAAACAAGAAACTATACGCCACACCACCCCGACGTCGTCCCCGACCCTCAAAAAAGTCATGGGATCAAGAAACAGCCCGTCACTGGTAGTGTAACTGCTCTTGTTTCCGATGTTATTCCTTCTTCAACACGCCCTCCTCCTCGTCGGTCCTCCTCCCTCCTCCTCCCTCCTCCCTTCTCCCTCCTCCCTCCTCCTCCTCCTCCTCCTCCTCCTCCTCCTCCCATCTCGTCCGATCCGAGCGGGGGCCCCATGGGCGTCGTGCAGCCGAAAAGCCATCGGCGCTCCGGCGCTGACTCGTGTTCCGTTCTTCGGACTCCTGGCCTTCCCCCCCCCAGTGCGAACATGATGGGCATGTTTTCCACCACCGCCACCAAAGTTGGATGGGGGGAAGGAGGAGGAGGAGGACGAGGACGAGGACGAAGAAGAGGAGGAGGAGGAGGAGGAAGAGGAGGAGGACCACCTCCCCCTCCAACTTATGGTGCTGGCGGAAAACAGGCCCACCAGAACAGGCCCCCTCAGTGCCCGCCGCCCGCTCAGTGCGCGGGGTCCGCGCCCGGCGGGCCGGCGGCGGGCGCCGGGCTCGCGCCGCGCGGCGGCGAGCAGGCGGGCTCCGAGGCCTCGCCGCGGGCGGGCTGTCGGCGGCTGCGGGTGGTGGCGAGGACGACGACGCCGACGCCGACGCCGACGCCGACGCCGACGCCGACGACGACGACGGCGACGTCGGAGACGGTGGTGGAGGGAGGAGGGAGGAGGGAGGAGGGAGGAGGGAGGAGGGAGGAGGGAGGAGGAGGAGGAGGAGGAGGAGGAGGAGGAGGAGGACGAGGAGGAGGAAGGAGGAGGAGGAGGAGGAGAAGGGGGGAGGAGGAGGAGGGCGACAGTCGAAGTCTATACTAAGGACGGGCGGTAAGAGCGTAAGGGCCTTGGCCGCCGAAGCTCGCATGTGTGAGGCGGCGGGCACCCAGCATCCCAGGGAGGCAATGGTACCCCAACCCATTCCCGTCCTTACCGAGAGGGCGTCGGGGACACGCGCAACAACAACGCAACGTTGTAAGGGTACCCGAAAGAAAGTCGTGAGTCCTTATTGTGGATTTTGACTGTAATAGGAGAACGAAATATGTAGAGGCCTCCCGGATAGGGTCCAAGTAATGGGGTCGGAGGATCGCGCCGCATCGCCGATGCATCGCTGATGCATCGACGATGCATCGACGACGTCGGCTGCGTATCGGCGACGCTGGCGTGGAGAAGATCGGGCACCACATCGAGCAGCATCGGCGATACGTTGGCGATGCGGCGCGATCCCCTTATCCCATCTGCTCGGACCCCATCTGGGAGGCCTAGAATCTACCGATACCGCTGCTCCACGGACCTCGCTGGGGGTGCGCTTTGACGGGGACTCCGACATGCAAGTCCAAGCGCGGCGGCGAGGGAAGGGCACCGGTACCGGTATCTCGTCCTCTGAGCTACGATGACGACGACGCGGGCGCGCGTGGCGTCGTCGTCGTCGTCGTCGTCGTCGTCGTCGTCGTCGTCGTCGTCGTCGTCGTCGTCGTCTTCGTCGTCGTCGTCGTCGTCGTCGTCGTCGTCGTCGTCGTCGTCGTCGTCGTCGTCGTCGTCGTGATCGTCTTCGCCGCCGCCGTCGTCGTCGTCGGCGGCGGCGGCGTCGCCGTCGTGTCACTGCACCGACCCTGCAGACGTGCTGCAGCGGATTTTGCATGGATTTCTGCCAACGCAAAACTCCGAAACGGCGAGTCAAAAACGAAGTGAAGTTAGCGTGGCTATTTTCTAGTCTTCATTTTCGGCCCAGACAAATCCGCACGACATTCACCTCGAACTCCCCACCCCATCGTTTCCCGAACGAACTCCGCTCTGCGACGTTGGCGCCACGAGTCGTGCGCCCTCCGTGGCCGCCAGGCCCCCGCCCAGGCCCACCGCCACCCGCCCTCCCCAGACCCCCGACGTCATGATTTTTTCATGACGCGATCCCTAGAGTCGGGAGCGGCCAAGAGGGGAGTGTCCAAGAGGGGGGGGTGCAAATCATGGCCGGCGGCATGTGCGCGGCCCAGGGGGGGGGGGGCCGGGACGCAATGAAACAAGAAGAGGCGCCATGAAATCTGCGGAGATAACATGACCCCCGCCATGATATCCCCCCCCCCCCTAGTCATCACCCCCCTCTTTTCCGCCCCCGACCCTAGAGGTCCCGACCCATGCCCCGTGACCGGCTCTTCCTCCCGAGCCGCTTCTTGACGGTCCCGAGGCCCAGCGGGGGCCCCCCGGGGCCGATCGCCTGCCTCCTCGCGGGCGCAGGTAGAGGAAAAAGAACTATGCACATACACCGATTCTGGCCAGACCCATCCTGAGCCCAGGATCGGTGCATATGCCCTCCTACCTTGGCCAGGAAGGCATATGCAACGATCCTGGGTCAAGGATGGGCGTTGTCAGGATCGGTGCATGTGCATATTTCTCTTCGCCCGAGCAGGGGCACGAGGCGATGGAGACGAGGAGGGGCTCCGTCCCAGACGCGGTCGCGTCATACAAAAAAGTCAGAGCGGGAGGCTTTTGCTCATTTTTTCGGCCTCGGGCTGCCCTCGCCGGGCCTCGGGAGCGCCAGAAGACGACTCGGGAGGAAAAGCCGGTGCCGGGGAAAGGGTCAGGACTTCCAGGGGCGCCGTCTTGAGAAAGTCAGGACGTCGCATGTCTGGGACTCCTTCACCACAGCCAGCAGCACGTCCATCACCTCCCGAACCCCTCAGGCCTCGAACTCCCCGGTCCCCCAAGTTGACTCGCCATGCCTGCCGACGGCAGCGGGGGAGAACGAGGAATGCCACCAGCGTGGACATCCGCCTCCTTCTCCTCCTGCTGCCAGCGACCACAGGAACGCCAAGGGTCCCAGTGTCACACACCATGCCCGCGAATAGACAGGCACAAGAAATGGGGGCAAGGGGGGGACGGAGGAAGGAGGATCAGCCTCGATGTCTTGCTGGCGGAACCCCAGGTCCTCCTCCTCCTCCTTTTCCAACTCCTCTTTTCACTCTCACTCTCGCTCGCGCTCTCACTCTCGCTCTCTCTCTCTCTCTCTATCTCTCTCTCTCTCTTTCTCTTTTTGTTGCTCCTTCTCTCTCTCTATCGCTCTCTCTATAACGGCTCATCGAATAAGCCGTCTCATTAGATTCATCAAGCCTGCACCTCGAGACTCGTTTGAGACCTGCACCTCGAGACTAGACACCAACGTCACTTGGCGCGATGCTACGACGACCAGCTGGCGAGATAGCCTGTGGGGACAGTTACTGTCAACATTCCCCTCCCAGGGAATCCAGAATTCGACGAACTGGCATCCCCTCAAAATCCTCCTATTTTTCCTCGCAGTCATTGTACCCTGGGCTCAGCGCAAGTGTGCACGCTGCTGCATGAACGGCCGCTTGTGAAATTTCTGAGGCCCCGCAGGACCTTCCTGCGCACCCCAAACAATTGCAATCAACCTAAACAGGCCGCACTGGAAATTCGTAGTCTCCATGGTGGTTGGCCAGTTTTTTCTCAGACGTTCCGCGCAGGACACCCGCCCTGTCAACCACCACCTTGGATTACAGAAGGGTGACTGCTACTTTCGGGTTCGCATTGTGATGCTTCAAGCTGTTGCTGCAAACCGGCTCACTCACTAACGTTCCGGCCAACATTTCGGAAATCCGACAAGCACCTCTCAAGGCTTCTCAGGGCCTTCCGCAGCCCCCCAGTGCATCCCAAAGCCTCTCAAGGCAATCCAGCGCCTCACCAGGCCTCTCTACGGCCTCCCAAAGCGCCCCATGGCCTCCCACAGCCGCCGAGCTCTCGGCACGTTCGGCAGCTCCGAAACATCTCAGGAAACCGCTGAAAACCAGCGGAGCTGGCATCATTGAAGGGGCCCTGAGGCACACAAATAAATACACACAAATAAAAAGATTCCCCATATGTTCCCATATTTTCTGGGTCTTTGTCTTCCCCCCCACTTCCCATATTTTCCCATATTCTCTGGGAATCGACGATTCATTGTGCCTGTGTGTTTCTTTCCCCCCCTGCATCCTGCTCTCCGTGGGACGCCCCTCGGGCGGGCCAGGAGGCCTGGAGCCAACAAAGAATGGTGCCGACATCTCTGGGGGAGCCAGCCTCGAATTTATCCCTATCCCTATCCTTATCCGAACATAGGGGTAGGGATATGTTTCAAATTGTTAATGTGGTGGATCGGCTGGAGAGGGGGACAAATTTTGTCCATGCGTGGGTCACCAGCCTCGAACGTATCCCTATCCCTAAGATGGGAGAGCAAACGGCGAGGACAATCTCAGGGATGGGCCCTCAGAAACGGGGGGAATCCTTGAGATCGGCATCGAGGTGAGGTGATGCCAGACATAGGGATAGGGATATGTTT